TATCCTACGGTGTTAAGACATACACCTAGTCACGATTACACATGAAAATATTAAGTACGTACATTTGAACTAACCCTAGGAGTATTTGAAATAGTCAACAGAAGTGTTTATTGAAGGATGTACAAAATTCAAGAAGAAATAACTTCTGAACACTGTCAATTTTTATTGTTTTAAAGCACTTATTTAAAAATCATTCGGTTTAATTATACAATTTACCAAAAGTCTAAGTCATTAATCTGTGTACATCAATTAAAAGAAAAAAACCCACTGCTTGATGGTAAGAAATCACTGCATTTAGTTTAGTCAAGCATGAACATGAAATCAACAAACAAGAACACAGTACTGGTTTATTATGTATAGACATGTTTTTGACGTTGAAGAGAGCAACCTTAAAAAACTATGGCAATGTTAGTAAACCTATCAATAAATGGTATCAATTTCATCAATTATTTTATGAATAGGCATAAAGGTAACTTGCTTTTTTGCAAGAAAACAAACAACCGTAGACATTAACCAATGCGTTTTGTGAAATCAAAAGTTATGTGTATATATTTAGAAAAAACTGATTATTTTTCTATTAAGACTTAATTATTTAGTCGATTTTATTTTACAGTATAAGAGGTTATGCAGTGTTGAATTCTTAAATCATTTATTGATCTTAATTAGACAGTTATTACGAACTAGGAGTTATTAGACAACTGCTTTTTTTGGTACAGGACTCCATAGGAGTGGGCACCCGTTAATTTACTAAAGCTCAAATTCAGGGTTTTCAGGCGTCAGTCGATTCGTGTTATTGTTCTAACATTATTCATTGTCATTGGCGATAGCTATTTCACCTCCTGATATTTCTGAGCTATAACAGACACGACATCTTACTAGAACGCCTGAAATTACCTCTTGAAATTATTTGCTAATAAAAACATGATGATTTTTCAAATATAGAGGATTATGAAGGTATGTGGGTTAAGCAGCATCTCCGAGTTCAGTTCTTGGAAGGGTCATAAATGCGCAATCCTGTGGAGTCTCATACTAAGAAGAAACAGATATTCGTAGCTTCCTAGTTTCCAATGATTGCCTAACTTAAGTCATTCCGTTATGTAATACTACAGGATATTACTTCGTTGAATAAGACAAAAGGCTTCAGTGTTTAATCATTTTTCTATTATATTGTCAACATTGGGTAAATACCAGGACGTATCTAAAAAGTTGTTTTGTTACGGATAGCAGTCCTTCAAAATTTTATATCCATAACGAATGACTTTGAGGTCAGAATATTTAGGTCTTACAGTAAACACGATTTTATTCACTGAGAATCTAAAATTTCACAATATTTAAAAATTAGTCAATCTGATATAACACGTGACCATCTACTGGTGGACATCTATGCCACTCTCATCTGAACTATCTTTACAGTTTATAGTTTTCCACAGCAATTTCGGAACAAGCAAGTAAATGAATGCTTCTATGAGTTAAACAATTTTTGTCCAGTCATAAATGGTTGTTTAATGAAGATAAAATTATGTAGAGAACCAGAAAATGCTCACCCATATACGAGCTCATACCCACAAAGCCCAAAAAATGAAACTAACTAGGAAGAATTTGAATCGGTGGCTATCAATTATTCAGTAGTTCAATGGATAATGTATTTAGCGTTTAAAGAAAAAGATACTGCATTAGGGTCCCGGTGTGAATATCAACACTGGAATATAGATAAATTCAGCTGATGAATCTCAAAGAGAATAAGACAGTGTGTAAGGATGGCTCGTTGGTAAACTCTAAGAAGCCTCAAGAAGGCCAGAAAGAGCCGAAGACATTCCGTCCAATCACTGCTAGGGGAATATTCTAGAAATGTCGACGTGTAGCTTCCCCATTGGACGGATACGAATGACCCCTTATGTGCCTGTTGGTTGTCTGAAATGATGATTTGCTCTCAGTCAAAAACTATAAATACGTGAGATTTCTGCACCATTTTTTGACACTGTTTTGGCGAATAAAGTTCCTACTCACTAGTCTTCTGTCTTCTCTTTTGCGACGTTGCGGGTTCGGTTATTCAAGTAGTTTAGTAGTACGCGGCATAGTATGAACCAAAGCTCTAGATATAACACAGTGATTCTGGATTCTATTGCTAGCCGCATTCTTTTTGTTCTATGAAACCTAATTAGGCTTAGTGAATTAAAACAAAATCTATTACACTATTGTTAATATCTTTCCTTCACTGTTTTGCTAAAGTCAAAAATATGATCATCATCGTTAGTGAACTTATTCAAGTAGGTTAAATGTTAAAGATGTCACTTAATGATGTTAATCGTTATTTTTCTGAAGCATCTTAGTAATAATAATAATGATAGAAACATTAAAAAAGATAGTAACAGCGATTAATTATTAATATTTAGGTATGATGTATATATGAAGGGTTGCGTAAAAGAAAATAAATGATTAAAATAGTGACTATATTTATCTAATCGCATAAACTAATGAAGTATAGAAAAACATATTTCAGCAATTAATTAACAAATAATTGGTCACAACAATATTCACTATAAATTACTTCTTATACAGAATGATGGGTGTTTATTATGCATATTAAAACGTCATCATATATTTTAATAAATGACTGTGGTATTTTTATAGCTGAAATTATGAACTGATCTTAATTAGATAACAAATGAAAATCTAGAGGTACTGTACGGCCGTATTGTCCTAGTATGAAACTCCTCAACAGTACTCATCCACGATCCTGAATGAGGGAATCGAACCCAGAACTTTTGGTCGCTCGTGTGAACGCTTAACCCATAGACCAGTGAGCCAGCATCTAACAGCGTTCATAGCTAACTTCAAACAACTCATGACCTTGAGTGTTAGACTGAAGGTCCTGAATTCCATTCTCGAGGTTGAAGTTGTGGCTGAGCACTGTTGATTGGTCCCATTTTAGGATGGAATGGCCATTCAAGCCTGCTAGGTTTTCAGTAATTGTTTAATTGAGATTGATCCGTGATTTCACCTGTGAAAATATATATTAACATAAGATCTTGGTTAGTCAGAAACATATCCTCACTGATGATTAACTGAGGTGAATTTTCCTAGGTTTCAATTATGGGAAGATTTGACAATATAAAATTTACCTAAACAGGGAATGTGACCATACATTACACCCATATAATTAGTTAAAGATTATAATTCAACCATAATTTGAATGGTGACAATGTGAAATAATAGTTTTCAACTCAGTGTTGTGCTCATTAAGAGACCTTATGATTTTTGGTAAAATTTCATGTGATGCATTGATTGTTTACTATTGAGGAGTTTTGAAATTACAAGCTATTTGGAGAATCTAACCTTGAAGGATGTCTTAAATAGTGGAAACAGAATGTGTCATTGCAAATGGGAAATGTATTGACGGAAGTGAAATTATTGTTTACCGAATTTTGTAAAATAAAGTATTTACGAATTAAATTTGAAGTTTTTAGAGTCAATTAATTAACACAATGTTGATTTATCTGTTTTATGATTTTCATTCACAGTAGAGAATAACAATGCAACATAGTCAAGTATGTAAATGAAACAACTAATCTCTTCTCTTTACCCTTATAATATAAAACATACATTGCTTGAAGAACATCTATTATTCATAACACTACGAATAAAATGTTTCAGTAGTAAGTGTGTAGAACATGAACTTTCCTTTAAATCTTGATTATCAATGTTCCATTCAAGATGAAAAATTACATTGTTTGTCGGAACTCCTACTTTTTAAAAAAAACCTGGTTTGGGAAATTAGAATAAGATTTCTCTAGGTCGTATTATTACAATAAAGACAGTATGTTTTTTTTATCAATTCAAGTACATAAAAAGTTGAAATATTCTGATTTCGCACATTCACATATATACATACATCATACTGTGATCAGATTGGATTAAAGGATTTTATATGTAGGTGTATATGACAGAATCGATTACAAACAACACAGACTAAAGTAAATTTGACTATTTCCTGAATAGCGACTGCCCACTTGATACAAATGATATATCGGTTTCAGCCACATATCAATATTCCGGTGTAATGCACTGACCAGTTAAAATTACAGACAAATGGTATCGACTCATTTTGTTATTCCTTAAGTTATTGTAATCATCATTTGCTCAGTCTAGTTGTTAATGACTTCATGCCTTATGATAAGTTCTAGTTTGATCAACAGCTGACTATTTCCAGACAAACAGCACCCAACGAGGTAGGTAGCTAGGTATACTAATCTGTCCTCACCCACCACTTTAATCGATGAAAGCTTACTATCTCACTAACCGACTTGCCATCTTCATTTGGTACTATATTCCAAACCTCAAAATTATTCACTTTGTCGTCACAAAATGAACGAGCGATCCTTTGAAGACATTCATAATCAAATACTAGTAACTTACATAGATCCTATATTCTTAATATCCATGTTTCACAGCTTTAGAGTAGGAGGGAGTGAACTGCAAACCCATTTGGTTGGCAGATGGAAATTTCACTTATACTACAAGCCAACCGAACTTTCTCAACCCGTGCTGAGATTTTGTCGAACAGAAACCCATTAGGATTGATGACTTTCCAGATACATGAAGCGGTCGAGGCGATTTAAGTGACTCCCTAACATTGGTTCAGGTGTTGATGCAGATCAGTTCTGAAGTAACATTCTGTACATAAAGTGAGAATCGTATCTCAGACGTGGTTAGATTGTTATTTAAGGTGGTCACGAGGTTCTGGATTTTGTCAGCACGCCACCAAAAAGAACGACGTTGCTAACGTAATCAAAGTCAACAAGTGAATCTCCTGGGAGATCAACCACTGAGACATCAGATGATGAGAGCGTCATCTTTGAAGGGATGTCTATCACAAGGTTAAATAAAATTGGAGAGAGTGGATAATCCTGACGATCACCATTTTAGTTTTCTCATAAGCCCTAACTCGGCCAGTAGTGTTCTAATAGAGAGGTTATATAAGGGTGATGAACTTCGTTAGTACACTTTTTACGTAGATACTTTCACTATTATTTATGCCATGAATACAATCATTATTAAATTGGTTTATTATTAAGGTCTTTTCCACATAACACTGAATGAATCTCGTTTGATCAAAAAACAGGTGGCATAAACTCATTTTTTGCCTGTGAACAAAGAACATGTATATTCATGGATAATTAAGGCTAAAAATAAAACAATACCAGTAAGTTTTTTAAAAAGGTATTTTGTAGATATAATTTGTGTCATTTCGAAGAGTAAACAACAAATGGTAAATTGAAGAAAAAAAATAAAAAACACGATTACAAAGTAGAAGCTGTCAGTGTCATAATACTTACACTTGGTAGTAGGTAAACGATGTAGTGACAACACTCGCAGCAGAAAACAACGACCTTCAGTTGAAACAAGTAAATAAGTACATGGTAGAAAGAAGTGTACAATGATGCATAATGAAAAGCGACTAGTTATTGATAATCTTTCTCCCTCCCAAAAAATAAAGAAATCTAAGTTAAAAAATAAAAACAATCATTACTACTACTATCGCCAATATGAAATAGAATGTGACATATGCCAACACACACATGTACATATGTAGAATGATGAGTCCGAGAATGAATAGTAAAAGAAAGGAGGAAAAACATTTCGTGAGCTTATCGGCAACAAATACACGTATTCAAGCAACAATAACCATTATATTAACCAAAGCAGAATAAGTAAGGCAAAAAGAAAGTACATAAAACAAAACTTAGCATGAAAAATTGTATTAATCAAATGTATTATTTATATGGAGAAGATACTGCGGTGTATACAGCGACATAATAAAGCAAGCATGCGGAAAAAACGAAATGAAAAGAAGGCAGCATAAGCTTTATTATGAAGAATTATGACAAAACAATACAAAGATTCTCTGTATGTCAACAATACATATAGATGTTTATAATGAAAATGAGCAAGTGTAGACGGATGAAAAAAACCCAGGTAGGAACACAATTAAAGGTAAACTTTCAATGCAACAGTGTTAAGTGACTGACTTTACAAATAATGATGATGTGAATGATAATAGTAATTGACCAGAACTATGACGCCGATGATTTTTAAGAAGATAAATTCTTATTCAACTGTTTATTGTCTCATTCATTATGACAGAAGATAAGAGTTAAAAAAAATTTGAGAATGGTGAATATAACTCTTTGCATTAATTCATAAAGACTAGGTTTGCTGATGGTACAGGTGTTAACGATATACACTCACACCTCCAATCCACTTGAGTAGTTAATTAAATATAAATAGCTAAACCGGGAAACGAGATTATTTATAATGAAGTGGTTGCGTAATAAATAATGAAACACTCCATATACACACATGGAGTATATTGACCATATTCATATAGACTTAATAACTATCCTGGAATAAATCAACATAAAAAAGGAGAAAATTGATGAAAACAACATGTTTATGGAGTAAAGTAAATGTCTAAGAGTATACAATAGACAAGGGCAATACACAGACACATGCACACAGATGTACACAATAAAAATGCAGATAATTTTGAAGATAAATCATTAGCAGTAAATCAGTTGTTTGTATGTTTTTAATCATTCACTGTATGTATGATAAATATCCCTTGAAAATCAGTGAGATACTCGGAATGGTAAATTATGAGAATAAAGTATGCATGTATGAAGGTTTGGACACAACAAAACACGTAAATATTAACATACTCTAACACATATATAATCAATGTAACAAGATAATCCTTACTGACTAAATGTTGCATATAGAAGTGTATTCTTCATTTCAGTTTAATCAGTGAAAAATAATTCTAAATGAAACATACTATTGTTACTTGAAGAGAAAAAAAGGCGCTTAAGTATTCATAACCTAATGTTTGCTTTTCAAAATGTTCTTTTCTCATTTTTTTTTCTGGCCAGTCAACCCAGACAAATCAGATATATTGTGTACAAATGAAATTGAGAATAAGCAATAAAAAACATACTCAAAATGTAATACCCTACAAAATCATGTATATAAACATATTTGGCGGAAAATGAAAGAAAAAAAGAACCATTATTTGTCTAATAATGTGAGCAATAAAAATCAGACTTGACAACTAACGAGAAGATGAACAGCGAGTGAGTGAGTGAGTATAAAGACAGTGAATAGTTGTGTTTTAAAACCCTCACTGAATACTTATATAACTGTAAAATTTAAGAATAAAGATCAATGGCTGTTTATGAATGTTCACATTAATTCAATTGAATGATTTATTAATCAAAAATGAAATTATTATGTAATTCATTGTGATTCCTAAGTGTAGTATTATTATTATTACGATTATTATTATATTACACTTGTTGCTAATTTGATTTATAAACAAATTGATATTAGAATAGAAAGAAAAAGTGAATGCGAAAGCTTACAAAACAATAACAACAAACACGAGTAAGCGGCATTAAGTTTAATAATAATAAAACAAACATAATGAGTATTATGATTAAATACTGTAATGTACAATCTAGTGAATGGCTGTACTATTTGTGTGTGTGTGTGTGAGTGTTAAAAAAGAAAGAAGGAAACAGAAGAGGAAAAATTACTATGATTTTAAATGTAATACAATAATTGAAAGGTGAATATTTAAATGTAAATAGAACCTAAATGAGTAAATTGGATTTCATCATTAGTATTATTGATAGCCAGAGTCTATGAATATTATTATTATTACTACTTTTTAAGGGTACATGTTTTATATAATATAAATCATTGTTGTTACTATTATATGCATGTATAGAGAGTAATATTGAATTGTGATTACAGAATAAACAGATATAAGGAAGAGAAATTTTTTAAGAAACAATATACAAAAATTAATTGGTTTTCTTTATTCTATATTGAAGATTGGGATTTGAGGGTTAGATTATTTCTGTTCTCTGGCTAAATTGATCAGCGGAATCAATGAACTCAATGGTTTAGAACATCGGCATATGAATGGATGCTGTGAAAGGAGATGTAAAACAAGAAAACACAATTATAAAGGAATATGTCTTCAAAACAAAAGAAGTTATTAATGTCTTAAAATATGAGAAATTTATATTAAAAATGGGCAAAACTAATGTGTTTTTCTCAAGCATTGTGGTAGGTAATATCAGGATACACAGAGAGATTATCAGCATGAGAAATAACGAGCCCATAATTAATTCAATAAAGTGAAGGATTATCGTCCTATTGTGCTGAATGATTCTTTGAGCAACCTGGGATTTGCGGTAATATCTGTCGTTTACAACGAAAATACAAGATTAAGAGAGCGGTATTCATTGATGGTGTCATATAAATATATATAAATTAAAAATGACTAACTTGTAATAATTCAATCGCCGTGGCTCTTTGTTCTACATCTACTTCTAGGCAACGATCAAGGAAATTAAGAAATGTGCTTGATAAACGATCACGCTCTTTAATTTCCGGTTTACCATTGGTAGCGATAAGATACAATGCCTAAAATACGATTGATGTAAAAGAAAAACAAAAGAATGTGGAAATCAATGATAACTATTGAACAAACCGTTGCAATACAATGTATAAACAGTATGTTTAATGCTGAATGATGAATATTATGAAGATTTTTTGGGTGATATTATGAACAAATTTCTAGTTGGTAAAACGAAAGGAAGAATGCCGATTGATAGACAGAAAAGGAATGTTATGAAATGTGGTCGATTGATAACTGGTCGTGAGATTATATCATTGACGAAACCTATGTATGATTTAAAATCACCATTAACTAGAAGAATAGGCTTTTTTATGTTATACAATTACTTGTTTATACACAGACTACAAACACAAAATAAACATGACAAAATGTCAGAGTTGATTGAAGGAAATTAGCTTGCAGGTTACTCATTCTCCAATTAATCAAGATCCGACTGTTAGGTCTAGTACTTGTCAGCTGTATCGATAGAACACTTAAAAAAATGTGAACTATTCAGTTTTATTCTAAATTAAAGCTGCATATGTACTGAGGACTATTCAGAAGGACTGAGACTACCATGAGAAAGGGTGGTACTGTAGAATGAATATTTGTACCGACTTATGGCTCAACATGATTCTCTGGTGACGTTTTTAACGACCGAATAATCTAATGTCTTTAAAAATTACTGCAGGTGACAAAACCATGGGACAATAAGGATCTTGATTGGCTTATCTTTTTACATGTTTATTCACACTAACGAAATCCTTTCAAGTTTAGTTTTTATTGACACAGGCTTGATAATTATTATGAGTAGTTGTATTATATGAATATTTGTGGGGAATTTACAAGGAAATTATTGTAGATGATACTAGATAACTATGAGACAATTGAATGAGTAATTCCGAACTGATATATATGTGTACATCTTACATACAAGTGACTGTATTTATATATACATGATACAATATATTCTTACTCGAACGGGATTTTCATTTAGATAGGGTGGTTCACCATCTACCATTTCAATGGCCATAATTCCTAATGACCATATATCCACCTTTGGACCGTATTGTTTACGTAAAACAACTTCAGGTGCCATCCAATACGGTGTGCCAACCATAGTTGAACGTTTGGTTCCATCATTGCTTAATTGTGCACAAAAACCAAAGTCTGTCAGTTTTACAGATCCATCCATTCCAAGAAGAATATTATCTGATTTGATATCACGATGAATGACGCGATTCGCGTGAAGAAATTCAAGGGCATGTAGTATCTATCAAGGATAATATAATAAACAAAAGTTAAAATGTACATTATACGGTAACACTTCACATAGGGTTGGTGATTGGAATTATTTAGTTACTCTCATGACAAGTGATATACTGTAAGAAAATAATTTGTGTTGACTAATTTGACTTATAAAGAAAACACAATAAATCATTTTAAATATCAAACGTCTTTTAGGTGATCCTCCCCACCTCGCATCTTTGGTGAATATTAGCAAACATCCAATAAGCTCGAATTGATAATAATTATCATTTGCATTTATCAAATTACTTTTGAACAAAAGAAGATGACAGAGTAAAGAAAACATTTTGTCATTTAGTATAAAACAATAACAAAAATACAGTGCACTGGATTTCAACAACTAACTTATATTAGGAAAAGAGTGATTGGTACAAAATACGAAGGTTAAGCATATGCGAACACACACATATGGGATAGGATGTGCATTGGTAAATACACTGAAATCATTTTAAGACATCAGTCTACAGTCGGCTAGTATTCAGTGTTTTCATACTCGTAGCTATCTCCAAAAGCAATTACATCCCATTTTCCATTTTTTAAAATCCTATTTTAAAAAATTAAATTGAAAACATTCACTAACAGTACGATGCATACATGCATACTTACATGGTACTTTAAGTAATGTCATTATGGTCATCAAGACTATATGTGACGTGAATATACGCCGTCTGTAAGTGATGTTACTACTGTTTTACAATGTAGAAGGCAACAAAACCAAGATGTATGTAAACACGAAATGCTATAGTTAATTTAATAAATATATGGTCAACATGTGAATGCTTGACACATGTAACTCGATCGGTTGCTCAGATCAAAATATATACAATGAGACTTCTGACCACGACCTAACACCAGTTTAGTAATAGTAGATTTCTTGTGGTTTAAGCAGCTGAATTTCATCATTCTATGAGATTGTTTAGAAACTGATTCTATTTCAGGCAAGAAATGTAAACATTCTTCCTAACTTTTGTAAAACATGAGCCGATCTAGGTAAGTAAGACAACCATTGAAAAACTGGGAGCACTGGATGACCGTTTCATTTCAGCATGGGACTCCTCAAAAATGCGTGTCCATGATCCTGCACGTGAGAATCGAACCTAGGACCTTCGGTTTCACGCGCTTACGCTTGACCTCCAGACCACGGTGTTAATGTCTAATCACAACCGATTCACAACACTGAGTGGCCATCTTCCATTGTCCCATACTAGGATGAAACGGCAATCCAGTGCTTCCGGGTTTTCGATGGTGATCTAACTTATATCAGTTCATGATTTCAATGAAATTCAACAATCTCCAAAACCCCATACCGCATAAAATAGGTATGGCACTGACTAGTACACAAGTTAGTACTGAAACAAATTACTTAGTTATATCAACCTGTGGAAACGATGTAGATACATATATCCATTGATAAAGATCAAATTAAACACAGTAAATCCCAAGACTCGGATGTGATACCAATTGATTTTTTTCTCCCATTATTTTTTCCGTTGTCAAAGTCGTAGGAAAAGTATATATTCAAATGCCTCCTTCCATACAACTTCAAGTAAATATGTTGCCTTATATCGGTATAGAATTTCCGTTTGTTTTTAAGACAAATATAGATGAAACAACGTTAAATAAATTTGAAGGAAAGAACGATGGATGAAATGAACTCATTGATTTATTTAAACATTGGTTGGAATAGCAAAGAATATGATTGCTACTTTGTCTCATGTCAAATGTGAGATAAAGATTTCCAAATATATTTAACAGGCAAGGAAACAAAACAATTTTTGAACATATATATGAATCAGTAATGGATCAATCTGTTAAATTTGAGAATAAAACACTGTCAGTTATAGTTGAAACTTATTATCTGACAGAAAACTAAATCGATAACTGTTGGCAATAGAGACTGAGTTATCCATATACACCTACTGTTAATTTTTTATTGTAGTCAGTAATTCTCATAAATATTGAAGTCCATCATCGAAAAGTTTATCGGAACTGCTTTAGTAATTTACAGTTAGGATGGTAGGAACCCAACTTTGTTACTCTGCTCATAATGCATTGGTTTTGTAGAAGGAAAAGTAAAAGGTCAGAAAAGAACACTAAGGACATATTTTATCCGATATATTCACTGACACATTGCAAGCTGGAAGTAACGAATGTATAGTGGCCTTAAGGCAATATGTCCATAAATACACACTTAGCCAGAAGAGAGTAGTAAGACTAAAACATGGATTGGATAGGTAAGCAATAGATACGGTAAAACAAAAACTTAAAACTGAAGTCAAAAAAGTGAGGGGAGAGAGAGCAGAGAGACATTTGCTATTATTTAGGACAAAATGAGGAATAGACAGACAAAAACGACAAGACAGCTTATCGGAAAGGGTATATAAAAACATTTACATAAGGACATAAATAAATGCAGTTATAAGTATATCGATTAAACTGAAAAACATATGTATTCAACCCTGGGGAAAAAATCTACGCACATTTTATGTACGTAAATTGTTGCCTATCTGTTGTTCACTACGAACCTACTTCTGTACACATTTGTCTTTGAAAAGTTTAACAAATTCAAACAGTGCATCCGTTCTTTGGGTTCTGCATTATCTTCTATCATGCCAGTTGATAATGTGAATAATTTATCAACCACAAATTTCCTGAACTCAGCCTTGAAAATCTTGAAATAATATTATGAAACTATTTCAACAGTACAAAATAGCTTTCTATTAAAATATCATTCTAGAATTTTGCACACATCTGAATTGAACAGCTGGCTTATTTTAGCTTTCAGAAAAATTTACACTTACTGATCAGAGTTGTTTACAAGCATAATTCCACAACCGAACGGGTATTGTAAATGTTGGGACCGGTTTTTCGAACTGTCATGTATTATAGCTTTGTTGTATAATTTATTGAGTAACAGATTACTATATACGTGTGTTCCGTTTATCATAAGCTTTCGGTTAACCCATAAACTACTGCCAGTTTATTATTTACAGTCTACGATAATCACAGAGACTTTTTGATTTGTCCGTGTATAATTGTTGTTTTTTATTTTATGTGATGCAGTCCTGTTTGTCTGAACATAACCCACGTCTGTCTGAAATTGTAGTAGAAGCTGGTTGCTGAATCTTGAATTCAAATGATGGGCATAAAAAGGAGCTAGCAAAGAGTAGACTAACAGGGACCTAGCTGTTGACTCAAGGTTAATAATGTTGGTCGGACGTGTAATTAGACAGGTCATAGACACTAAGCTATTCTTGAGGTAATTAAGTAATTTAGCTGTAAACGATTTACATCCACAACTGTTTGAATTGTTAAGTAGTTTGCCAACGGTTTTGTAGTAATTATAATGGTAATAACGAAATCAATTTTAAAAAGCTGATATTTTCCTTTCGTAAGCTTACCTCTCGGCATATTGAAGCAATATGTCCTTCTTCCATACACGTCTCGGTGACAACATCGGTCAGTGAGCCACCATCTAAATACTCCATGACAACCCATAGTTCTTCACCTTTAGATGAATTCCCTGAACTAATTGTTGATGAATTGAGGCTATCATTCTTTTGAGTTGATTGTTGGTACTTGTGATTTGAACCGTTCATGTACTGCTGATGATGATCCATATTGGTGGAGACTGAAGTGGACACTAAATAACTGTCTAGATAATTTACAATATTTGCTTGACGATTAGCCTTCATAACCAAAATTTCATTAATGATTAGTTCTTTTTTAGGCTGTTGAGCTAAATTCATTTGTTTAATAGCCACTAGACTGCCAGTAGCAATCTCATATCCACTATATACCACACCAGATGCCCTGAAAAAAAACAATAAAACGATGCTTTTTTTTTCAAGAAAAAACAATAGAAATGAGATAGTAATCGGTGCTTTGTGAAATATCCACCATGTAAAGTGAAATTGTAAATTCAATGACATACACACTACGTCCAGTAAGAATATAATAACTATTTCATAATATTAGTCAATCATACGGAAAGTAGAGCCTTATACACATGTACATTGATTTAAGTCGTTAAAACATATTACCACAACGAGATAAAATTATTTTGGGACAAATCCCTGATTATTAGGACTAGTTACAGTATCGAAATTCGTAGAAAAGACTAAGTGAAGGCAAAGAAAAAAGATATAAGGAGATTTAAGGGCTCAGGTTCTATAGGAAGGCAAGAAGTGAAGGCATTGCGGACGATTCCAAGCCATAATATATGGCGTATGATTGGCCAAATTCATTAACTATCAACTATAGTCCTGCGGTGAGGTGATTTGATAATTAAAATATTCAACCAGGTTGGAAGTTAAGACCTAGTCTCGCTGACTACTTTGAGTTTAAGCACGCCACATAATATGGCCTATGATCTAGGTATAGATATACAGTCGGTATTCCTTAGAACTACGAAATTCAATAACAAGCTTTTTACTTAATAACTAACGATAGTACATCTATTTATTTGAAATGATTTGTTGTTAGCTGAAGTGATAGTTTGACTAGATAGTTATGCACAAATCAATTATGATATCAGAGAGACAGATTATTTAGAATTTGAAAACATGAAACTAACAGTGCTTACAAACACAAGAGATAATCTGAACTGTAGTGAATAAAGGTAAGATTAAAATGATCATCTGAAAAATGTACTTCCAACTACATGTATTTTTCCCCAACCTCAGGCTCATACGTATTAAATATAGTAAAGAAAATAGCCCTGCATGAATCTCATAATTAATAAATCAAAATAGTAAATCACGTAGCTAATAGTCACGCGGACCCCAACCAGTGGTCCTAAAATAGAATAGGGCATGAAATTCGTATTTCAACTACTCTCTACGGTAGTGTAAGACGGTGCAATTCAATGAACTTTTTATTTTGGAGGAATATTACTCTAAAAGTACAAATAATCTTAAAACTTATATCATTATTAGCAAAGGATTGAGTTATCTCGTTGTTAATATTCGAGACGGAACTTTGATCCGTTTTGTTGGTACATATACATTTATGTGGATTACTTTGGTATATCCATTATGACACATGTTATTTAGAATAGATGGGTTGTGGTTAGTAGTGAAACCCAGGAGAGTTCCCAAGTAGGAAGACATGTGTTTTGCATTCCACTCCTAGACATAATCCATTGATTCTAAATAACCACAAAATTTAGTTTTTAAAAGCTTTTATTGATAGCAGCGAATGTGGTAGGATCGCGCAAACTGCCCATATTTATTCATCAGAATCTCTAATTATAATTATTTATCCATAAGTGAGAGTATAATAGAATTTAAGTAGATTGATATTATAACGGTATAACTATCTGATTATTAAGCACTCAACTCAAAAGGGTTCGAGCGATACGGTAGTACCAATAATTCAGACATAATAAAGACAGTTTATGGTTCATCAAATGGTTGTTGTTGATGCTGCTGTTTAGTAATTTGGATCTACTGTCCTATTCTTATTATTATTGAAACAGCCTTCAAGTTGCGATAATAAGACCTAAACAAACCTGCAGTTTTAGAACTAAGCAAAGAACTAATAGCTGTTCTACTCTAAGAAAAAGAAAACTTGAAGTGACAAGAAATAGGTTTTTGTTGAAAAAAACTTACCCTTGACCAATTTTATCTACCATACGATATTTTTTATATGGATCACCTTTGCTTACAATAGCTCTTAATTTATCGTGTACCTGCTGATCTGTTAATCGATGATTACCAGTACGACGCCTAGGTGCATTAGGTGTAGTCGATTTGGCTACGTCTTCAGTAGCGACGGCGGCAGCAGCAGAAGTGGTAGTTGTTGTTGCAATCGTAGCAGTATTACTGGAATCTATTTTATTAGCAAGCGGTTGATGTGGGAAGAAATGAGGAGATTGGTTTATTTTAGTTTGTTGTTGTGTGCGAAACACATGTGTTAAACCCTGTGGTTTGACTGGAACAGCTGGCGGAACATTTCTATCGGAGGTTGATGACTGGATGATCTTCGACGTCCCACTATCTTTACCTATGAGGAATAAGCAGATTCATGGGTTAATATAAGCACATAGGAAAATGCAATTATAGTTAGCATATTATGATTTGAGAGACTACAATGTGAATAATTTGTTTTCTCTAAATCTAAAGACACTTGGCGAAACCTTCAAAACAGAGGTATATAAGTACGTTTTGGGAGGGGTTAGTAATTGTGAATCAAGATAGTAACTAAAACCTACGCATGAAAACACACATATTTTATTACTGTCATCGATTTGGAAGGGGCAAATTTGATAACAGATCATACTGAAATTCACTCAATCTACTTACCAGTACTGACCGAATTCGGTATATTCTCACTATTTGTCGATGAAGTTGTTTTGTTTGAAGTAAGTACACCATTCCGATTATCAAAAGCTTCACTGGTAACACCATTTTCAGATCCCTGCAATACATTTTGTAAAAATGGTTAAAAAGTATAAAGAAGACTCGAATTACCAATAAAATGTCATATGATAAGAGTTTATCTATTTACCCGATTATTTAATAAATATCATAAAATTCTTTCTACCTATGGTCAAATAATATGATATAACTGTAAGATTTTATACGTAGAACATAGAAGCTGGATATGAATGTTGGAGAATTCATATATATTAAGATTTTAAATTTGTGAATCCCATCACTTAAGAGGTTAAAATTAATGTAAAAAATAGTGCAAAGTATGTTTAATAAGCAATGTTATGAGAACAAGACATTCAGTTTCATTTTGCCCCTATGGTGGTGCAGAATGGTTCAGTCTTACAAGACACGCCATATCCCTGGAAAGAAACATAATAAACTTTACTACCTGCACGATATATTTATTTATTTATTTACGTAAGCTTTAGAAAATGTACAATTTATTCGCGATTAAGTATACCTTGGACATAGTCATTGGAGTAGGTAGATTACTACAAGTTCCACTGCTTGTCATCCATTCAACAGTAGCCTGAGATGTAGTTATTTCATTATTGCTCAGTTCACTTTGTTCATTCTCGCTTTCTTCTTCATCTTCACCTAACTCCTCACCTTCTTCTTCGTCGTACTCTTCTTGTTCGTGATCTTCATCATCAATATCCTCATCCTCTTCTTCTTCATCGGAAGATTCTCCGACCATTATACAAGATTCAGGAACTGATCGATCTCCTTGAAATGGCAAACATGTAGATGATTCAGGGATTGTATTTTGAAATGAAGATGTATGTCGTAGAGTACCTTCTTCTTTAACACTACTAATTTCACAATTATTTGTACTACTTTCAGAAAAATCTAAATTTCTTAATACGACAGTAGTTGCATGAGGTGGAACAGGCGGTGGTGATGATGGTGGTGGATAGGAGACAAATGAACAACAGTTGTTATATGGTAACTGTGATTGAGATGGTAACATACTAGGCGGAAGAATACTTGTAGGACTGTTCTCATTACTATTCATACCGCCAAATAAATGTCCAACCATACTAGCTGAACTTGCTAAACCAGAAATACTGACACTTCCGCTAGCGCCCGAACAAGATAGTGAGCAACCGCTGCTACTGTAAAATGATAAAATATTTGAAAAGAAAAACTGTTAATTAGAACCTTGCCAATGACGTGACATTTTTAGAGAGATTAATACATATAACAACTGGTTCCAAAAAACAGAACTAACGGACAGATGAGTAGTAAATGTTCTACTTTAGTGATTTCTGAGATTAACACTCAGTAATGAACTAATTGGTCAAAATTCAAAGTTGATACAAATTTTATGTTATGCTATCAAACTTGTTACCTAAATAAACTATTTTGTATTTAAAACATTCCAAATTGAAGAAACGTTTCTTTTGTAGCAAACTATATAATTTTAAACATTTCGTTTACTCCTCAAATTATTTTATTGACAAACCAGATCAACACATGGAGTATATGACCATTAATTAAAAATCCACCAAACGGTACTTGGAGTATGAAATACCACTTAAATAGCTTACCGACTGCTGCTAAGTTCACCAAGACTAACATCATATGTAATTGGAAGAGCGGGAACAGACACAGTTGAATGACCATTATGATTCTCACCAACTAAATTGGTATCTCTAGCATGACGGCTATGATTGAGAAGTTGTCCATTTGTAAGGGTTCCTGAATTCGCTGATATCATGGAGTCTGGCCCAGAACGAGCGATGTCTCCTGTATTGTTAGTGCTTCTATGATTCCCAAGTGCTGGAGACATTTCAGGAATTGTCGAACCACTTGCACGTCCACCAAATGTACGGGTTGGACTAATACCACCCAAAAATACAGCACCTCCTGTGCTTGTTCTCCTTCCAGACCCTGAAGGACACCCATGAGTGTGATTAGAAGTTAGTTCTACTAAGCTTGCAGCGCTCAAACCATTTGGAACACAACCACTTACACCACGACCACCAACACTCCCACTGTTAGTGGTACAACTGCTACCACGACCGCTGCTATTGCTACCCGCACAAGAGTGAGTAGTTGCCGGTAAAGCACTGGGAATGATTGTCATTCCTGTTAAACTAGTTTCAGCCATTGACATAATTAAGTTATTTTCTTCCGCTGAAATAGGTGCAGATGCAGATGTCGTACAATTAAATGCAGCAGATGGATAGGAACCCGAATGTAAATAACTGATGTCACAATGACCTGGTGCAGTCGGCATACTTTGAGAGGAAACTGAGCAGGAGCGGGAGTTGGAATTCATCGATTCAACGGAACCAGAGGAATCTAAATTTTAAAAACAATTACTTAATATGAGATGGGACAACAGAATGAACAAACAGTAGTACGAAGTGAATGGTACCTGAAGAAGTAATAAATATTACGGTATGAATAATCCTTTGTTGAACTTATGATAAATTCGTAATTAGGTGGTGTATACACTTCTGTGATTTCACTTATCAGTCGAATATGTATGATAAGCAGCGTTTGATCGTACAAATTGAGAAAAAGTGTGTAGCTATTCAAACCTTGGACTAGTCACTTTTAGTCTCTTATTAGCTGAATAGAAGCGTCAAAACAAAATAGACTTCACACTAATGTATAAAATCTTCTTTATCATGGATAAGATCACATCATTATTTATTGCTAAGCAAAACCGTTCAGCTCAGCATTGATTAGATTTCATAGTAGTATTGGGTTTTTCTATATGGTTGAATCGGTTTTTATAAAGAACACAAAATCTTTTACCATTAATTTAAATGTGATGTATTTTTTATTAAAACATTTTGGTTATTAAAGTGTGTGAGGAAAAACTTGGGATAATTTCTAATTTGGCATTAACAATAAACCACTTAGGTAGATTACATCACGAACTGATTTTGGTTAGACCACAACTGAAACTATGAAGCAGTGGACGAGTGTTTTGTACCGGAATAGGGCCCCTCAGTATTGCGCATTCACAGCGCTATCAGGGATCAAATCCACGAATTTCGGTCCATAGGCAATGAAAGATGGCAGTACAATATCGGGGATAGATGAAAGTTAAAAACAAGAATCATCGGATGCCGACTCAATAGTCTAAAGGTTTAGTGCTCTCAGCAAAAGCAATTAACAGTGGGGTCGTGAATAAAAATCCCACACCACGACGAAACAACTTCGACGTGATTCCTGGTTCTCGATGACAGTCTAAGATCAGTTCGTGATGTGATCTATGGAGAGCAAAAGATCTCTACAAACCCATATACCAATAAACAACTTATTGACAGACAATTTACTGTGGTAAGACAACAAAGACGTATTTTTTGTCGATGACCAGTTGTTTACATAGCCATTAAATTGGTCACGTGTAGGAAATAATGAATGTGCCGAAATTTGTGCAACTATTTTCTTTTAGACCTCAAATTTAAACATAAAAAATGAAATAACATACTTGTAATGACAGACACATTTGTCATATATTTATCTTTCTGTTTAGCCGATTCATCAAAACATTGTAGTACGCCAAGAAGGATTTCTGGATTCTTTTCTTGTTCTGTTCGTGATATATTTGATGCTGTTAAAAGCATCTGCCATGAAATAGGAAGACCCTAAAAAAATCACAAGCAAAATGTTACATATATATATATATATATATATATATATATATATATATATATATATATATATATATATATATATATATATATATATATATAATGTTGAACACAATCCATATTAATCACTTCAACAAACTAAAAAATCAGCGTTAACAAAAGAAAACAAGTCAAGAAAGAAATGACGAAACTAATTCAATCATTTGATATTATTACTACTATCAAAGTACGGACACAAACAAATATACAACAGCGTGGCTGATTTACGACTCCATGGACGTGTATTACATTAAGAAAATTTCAGATAGGTTTCACATGAATGTAAATTATTTTTTTATAAAATAAAATGTTATTAGACGTTATCTTAAAAAAATGAACTCCTTAAATATATATATAAAAAAAGAAAGACAACAGAATTTTCTACCTGAGGACACAGAATGATGCTTATCAAATTTAATATCGAGTGAAATTTAAAAATTAGATATATACAATGAACAAAGAAAAAATAGAAAAGGTATGATTGAATGGTCAATCATATATTTTTCCCTCAAAATTAATTGACAGAAAATTGGCGAAAACACTTTTATAGAAATAACGAGTTTTCATTTGAAGATGTATCTCCTTTGCCCCCTAACTTTGTACACACAGACACATACATTTAGCTCCCGAGTTGATTGAAATATATTGCATTGATTCTTTATTTATATTGTTGAGAATAACTGAATAGGTGAACTAATAAGTGAAATACCCTTACATTTAAAAACTTACAGATTTTCCCAATGATAAATTTCACTAAAAATATGATATAATGAAGCATAATCAAACCATCTCGAAATGTCAACGGAATGAACAAACGTAGCGAAAAATACAGCTTCAATTGAACTTATACTACACCTCCTAATGACTGTCGACTCAACCCTCAAAGACAAAAGACAGCAGAATGCTTTTTTATACAACAGATGATTTATAGGGAAAATGGATCAACATTATTAGAGTTTAGGTACGTCCCTGAAAATAAGCTGTTTAAGATGCAAGTTTCGCAGCGTCTGATTTAACAGTGCGCACAGGATTCAAAAATACAACATAATGGAAATTAGAGATTTAGGTCGAAATTTTGCAAAACAATGCACTTTCCAACACATTAACAGAGATTACTAACCATTGTATATCTAAACTCAAATGATTAGTGTACAACAAAAACTACTATACATTTTTATTCTTTAAGTACAATTTCCAGATAATTTACATTAATTTTCTGTAACCTGTTAGAGATCGAATCCATATATTGACCATTACTAGTCATGGATACTTACCAAAAATACAACTGGAACTTTTGATAACGAAGTTAAAAACTACTGTTGTACTAATTATTTGACTAACCTATATAAAACTGATAACATGATATTTATGTCAGTTAGTTGAATCACATAATGTATCACATGGAAAGAGAATAGTAAAGATTTTTGAGATCAAGAAAACGAACAGATAGGGTGAACAATAAGGAAAAAAACATTTGTAGATACACACAACAGTTAAACTAGTAAGGGAAATAGAAGATAGGGAAAAAATAGAACAAAAGGTCAAAAATAATCAACAATCAATAAATTCTTGAAAATAATCGTTTCAATTTGTTAAATGAATAGGTAATTAAAGCTTATATTTTTTTGATGTAAATAAATACAATAAACGTAATGTATAAATCAGTTTATAATCATTTACACAACTGATGTGTTATCTCTCAGAAAAAATAATAGCACATGTGATTAAATCATTCACTTAAATGTAGTGTTTCCCAAATAATCTAATATTGATAAAATATACACCTGGGATGTATTTGTCTGTGTTATTTCATAGATTGTTTATGCAACAATTTGCCTACGTGACTAGTAAGTAGTTTAATGGGAAAGAAAAACGATAAAATTAACAATAACTATCTAAATAAAAACATATTCCTTCTTTCCTACATACAAATCACATGATTTGGCTGTGTGCCATAAATTATATTAGACAAGGCGGGTGTAAAATGAAGGATACATATATACTAAGATAGTAAAAAGTAAAAATTGACCAAGATATGCAAAATATTTTCGTCCCGAATGTAGTACAACACATTTGGGAAGATTATTGTTCTATATTTATTATATTATTAAATCCTCATTTTTATTTTTAATTAACGCATTAGATTTAATTTATAATAATTGACTACATAATTATCATTCATTAAACTCTGTTTAAGTAACAATTTTTACACAATCACGGCAATTAGATTAAAATATCCCTGCTATATTACACTTAATTTGAAACAATCTTGTGCTATGATTAAATTTAAGCAAGTAATAATGGACATACGTAGTACACTGCAATCGTAAAAGTAATTGAAGAAATCTTAACGGATTTCAAAGATTTTACCACAAATTCTAGACTTAATAAAACTTAGTATATATACACAGATTTACGTACTCAGATTAGAGGAACATTTTATTCTTGTGCTAGTTACATGGCTTAATCTCTGAGACAAACATATGACTACTGGCAGGATCAACCAGTTTGTTTACAGTTATATAATATACCCTTATGGACTAGGGTAATCTTGCACTGGTTTTCATGTGAACCCGACACCATCCAGACTTTCACGTGGCAACCCAAACAGTACAGCTCAATCCCGTTTAACAGGAGAGCCAGACACTGCCCAGGCTTAGCCCAAGCAGTACAGCTCAATCCCGCCCTATAGGAGTACCAGACACTATAAAGGCTTCAACGTTACAATCCGAACAGCTCAGCCCAATCCTGTGGCGCAACCACTCAGGTACCAAACACCCTGGTGGACCATTCGCACCGTTCATATACACATTTACATCCCGTGTATAAATATTCCGATCAGTGATCGCGTAAATCAATTATGCACAGCACGAACAGACCAAATTTGACCCATTCCGCTTACACGACAGCCAAACTCATTAATTAGCAATGTCGATATGCCTTACGATGCTCCAATGACCTAAGCCCTTGAGAACATTGAGAAGCAACCACCAGTATGAATGAAATCGGTTAATCTGCCAACCAACTTTTCACATGAACAGCTAGCAAAACTTGCCAAAGCAATGCCGAACCATCCACAATATCAATGGCGAATCTCCAGTCTCATGTGAGACCTTCAGCTCTACATGGCCATATAGCTTATACTGTATACCACACACATATAGGTTAGTAAGTGAAACAGCCCAGCCTGAAGCATTAGGGCCTAAGAACGCTTGAAACCCGTTGTCTGGTGTCGGAATAGTGATACAAGACTACCCAGATCATTTTTATCGCATTTGCGAAATTTTCATTTTTCCGACTTTCCAGACCCTGAGTTAGGGGTAGTAGCTACATACTACTTAACCACTATTGTGGTGTATATTACTTATGTATTGTCATTTAGACGTAATCTTTTGTACCCTATTTTCTACTATAATTCCCCAGTTTTGGACATGATTGTATTTTTCTAATTATTGTACGTTGTGGTCCGCTTAGTCATCTATTTATTCATGTAACTTTTCACCCTAATCTGAATTGGGAATTCGAGTGCTAGATCGGGTTGGAATAAAGTGATTAGTGTTCCATCTGTCTTGTCTTCTCTCTCTCTCTCGTGCTTGCCAGCCAATCAGGGACAGAATAGTTTTCGTCTCTCTACCCCTATTTCGAACTCACGCATATTGTCCTCAAGGTTAAGCCAGTCAGTCTATCGTGTCAAGGTCTTAATCTACATTATACTCCGCACTAAGTGGGTAGACAGATTCAAGGACGTAACAAAAGTGGCGACGGAGATTTTTTTTTAAAAATATTGATTGATCCAAATCAAAATGTCTGTTTCTTTGGACGACCTTAAAACTATTCTACAAATCCAGCAAGCTCAGAATGATGCAAACCAAATGAAGCTTTTAGATGCATTGATGCAGAAGCTCTCATTTCATTCATCATCAAATTCTCAGTCAGATAAATATGACAGCATCGCGAATTCTATTTGTGAATTCAATTATGATCCCGATTCTGGTATTATTTTCGATTCCTGGTTTCGCCGTTTTGAAGACACATTTCGTGTTGAATGCTCGAATCTTGATGATGCAGCCAAAGTTCGCCTACTCTTGAGAAGACTCGGAACACTTGAATATAACAAATATGTAAATTTCATTTTGCCACAAAATCCACGAGATTTATCATTTAATGAGACAGTTCAAATTTTATCTAAAATTTTTGGTGAACAATCCTCATTATTCAGCATCCGTTATCAGTGTTTTCAAATATCTAAATCCTTATCTGATGATTATCTTACATACGCTGGACATGTAAATAAAGAATGCGAACGTTTTAGAATAAATGAAATTACAGCAGATCAATTTAAATGTCTGATTTTTATCTGTGGATTAAAGAATCCGGAAGATATGGACATACGTACCAGAATTCTATCACGCATTGAGCAGGAGCCTAACATGACCCTGAAAATGGTCACAACCGAGTGTCAACGGTTGTTAAATCTTAAACATGATACCACGATGGTACAGCAAAATGCAAAGACTTCCAATTTTGCTTCAATAAATGCATGCAGATCTTCCAAACCTTCCAAACAAAAGACGGCGAACACACAGAAACCTTCTGGTAAACCACCATCATCATGTTGGTTCTGCGGATCATGGCATTTTGTGAAGTTATGTCCATTTAAGAACCACAAATGCCGCCAATGTCATCGCATTGGTCATAAAGAAGGTTACTGCTCCTCAGATAAACGTCAGTTCAAACATCGTGGCGTAAATGTGAAGCGACAGCTACAGAGTCAAGTCAAAAGCACATTTGCAACTTTTAAAGTGGGATTTCAAAGTAAACGGAAGTATGTGAACTTATTAGTGAATGAAAAACCTATTCGTCTTCAATTAGACACTGCTTCCGACATTACGCTGATCTCCAAGAACACATGGCGTAAGCTAGGGTGCCCACGCATCCGACCAACAGAGCATGTT